GAAACACAGCTCCGTCCCAGCACAGCAGTACTCAGTATGACGTCAGCATTGTGCGCTTCCACTTCCCAATACCGCCTGGCAACAGTATGATGGAGCAAAATACATAAAACAGAAGAGGGAAAGGCGAGTGATGGAGAGAGAAAAAAAAAAAAAAAAAAAAAAAAAAAAAAAAAAAAAAAAAAAAAATCAGACAATCTAACCCAAACAGTGGAAAAAACCAGCTTCAAGTTCCAACACACACAGAAACACAGCTCCGTCCCAACACAGCATTACTCAGCATAACGTCAGTATTGTGCGCTTCCACTTCCCAATACCGCCTGGCAACAGTATGATGGAGCAAAATACTTACATAAAACAGTACTTGGCTCGGCAGCGCTCGGTCCGAACGCTGTAATGTATTTCAGTCGGTAATGCAAAAGCTGATATTGCTCTTTTTTGGAATGCTCTGTTGTAAATTATCTTTGTTTTTTCTCTGCCTCCTTTTCGTTGCTTAAAAGGTGGGGCAGGTTCGGAATTGAGGAGGAAAAGAATGAGAGAGAGAGAGAGAGAGAGAGAGAGGAGAGAGAGAGGAGAGAGAGAGAGAGAGAGAGAGAGAGAGAGAGAGAGAGAGAGAGAGAGAGAGAGAGATGGGGCGGGGGAGAGGAAAAAAGAAAAGAAAAAAAATGAGAGAGATGGATAAAGAAGGCGTAAAAAGGATGTTTGAATATGAAGAAATTAAAGAATACAAGAAAGAAAGAAACACAGGAGGAACAGAACAATACAAAAAAAAAAGAAAAAAAGTAAAGACAAAGAATAAACCATGAAAACCATTCACAGACCCTGCCTTCATCCGAAATACCATAGAGTCAGCATCCCTTTCAATACGAGCTGCTTCCTCGCGCTTGAATTCCCTGTCGACCCCCCCCCCCCCCCCGGCTTCTCTCGCCACGCTAAGTATAGGAAATGTCAAAGGAACACGCGACGCCACTCTGGGGAGCCACTATGCGCCCCTGGGGAAGTGAGCGACGTCGCGAACTCTCATGACGTCGCTACAGATGAGCGTGAAGGAGAGTCTTGAGTTTAACGTCAGATAGAGTGAATTTTTTTTTTTTTTTTTTTTTTTTTTTCTCGGGTTCATGAGCTTACGGGAGACACGGAAGTGATTACATATATTTTAGTATATATCATTACTATCTTCATTACCATCATTATCTACCATAAATTTTCATTATTATTATCGTTACTATCTTCATTACCATCATCATTATCATCATTACCATAATTATCATTATTATCATTACTATCATCATCACCATCATTGTTATCATCAACTGTATAATTACTATCATCATCATCATCATCATCATTACTATTATTAATATCGCCATTGTTCTTATCATCATCATCATCATCATTATTACTATTATATCATCCTCACAATCGTCATCATCAGAAGCAGGAGCATTATCTCTTTATCATTATTGTAATTGTTTTTCATATTATTTGTGTTATTATCATACCTATACATCAGCAAAAATGAGGATATTTTCACGATCTCAATCATAATCGAAGTTCACCTAAAATATATTCATGTTTTATTATTCTTATTATTTTTTTTTTTTTTATTATTTCATCTATTATTTATTTTATTTTTTTTCTGTTTTTATTCCTCTATATACCACCCTGGCTAACTGCATAAGCGTGGACCAGCTGTGGTGTATATATAATGCATGGGGATTATATAATAGTATTATTTCGGAAATGTTAGTGTTTACATATTCATGATTTCTACTATATCAGTTAAAAGGGAAGAATAGTTACATAGAAATATATCTACTTATCTATCCCGCTAGCATACAGCATGGGCGTGGAAATTAATTTGTAATGTGATCATGTGGTACTACATTATAGATATAGGATACGACATAAGAATATTGTCTAAGACGTTGGATAATAGGAAATAGTTACATACTTTTGCGTACCTCAGGCTATGTGGTCTAAAAGGTTGTAACACATGGCACCTGAGATATAATGTATATTCTTCAGTACGTGGCATGGGTATGTAAACGTGGGTAGTGTTATCCGTAGAGTTTTACAAAATACTGACAAAACCTATCTAGTTCTATAGGTTATCTTACATACACACACACACATATTTGTACATATGTATATATATATATATATATATATATATATATATATATATATATATATATATATATATATATATATATATATATATATATATATATATATATATATATATATATATATATATGTATATACATACTATATATATATATATACATATATATATATATATATATATATATATATATATATATATATATATATATATATATATATATATAATATATATATATATATATATATATATATATATATATATATATATATATTATATATATATATATATATATATATATATATATATGTATATATATATATTATATATATATATATATATATATATATATATATATATATATATATATATATATATATATATATATATATATATATATATATATATATATATATATATATATATATATATATATATATATATATATATATATATATATATATATATGTGTGTGTGTGTGTGTTCATACTTCATGTGTTAGTTGAATCATATCTCTACTCCCCTTCTTATTATCATTCACAAAATGCGCTGCTTATACTTGCAGGTGTCTACCAAGACGGGTCGCTATGGCTACGTCGTGAACCTGAAGGTGGTCACTCCGAAGGCGGTCATTTCAGGGTCATCAGAACTCCACGTCCAGTCCGGCTCCACTATTTCTTTGCTCTGCATCATTGAAGGGGTGAGTTACGTCGTCTTATTTTTGTTTATTTATTCGTTTTTCTCTCTCTACTTTCTTCTGTCTTTGTCTTTGACTCTCTCTCTCTCTCTTCTTTTCTCTCCTCTCTCCTCTCTCTCTCTCTCTCTCTCTCTCTCTCTCTCTCTCTCTCTCTCTCTCTCTCTCTCTCTCTCTCTCTCTCTCTCTCTCTCTCTCTCTCTCTCTCTTTCCTCTCTCTTCTCTCCTTTTTATTCTCCTTTATTCTTCTCTTCTGGTCTACTATCAACATTAGAATTATGGATTCTTGCCTGATGGATTTGAAGATCTAATATCTATTGAATCTGCAACTGAACTGTCAATATATATTCATCCTTATCATCTATTTTTAGCGACATAACTTATTATATATCTTTCTTTCCTTTTTGTGCCTTTAGTAATTGTGATAGCTCTGATATTTTCTCTGGATTTCAACATTCTGTGCAGACTTTTTTTTCGTTTTCTATTTTTTTTGTTTTTGATCATTTTTTCCCCATCATTTTGTCTTTATTCTTGTCACAGTCGGTGAGCTTGATCGTTTGTCTCTTTGGAAATTATTATGATTACTCATCGATTCTCAATGCGGTGGCGGCGCATCACTCATGACTGTCACCGGTTTTTTTTTTCTGCGTTCACTGTTATTTCTGTTTCTTCTCTTCATCTATTTCTGTCTCTCGTGAAATACTCACATACAGAGACAGACACACATACACACACACACACACACACACACACACACACCACGCACGCACACACACACACACACTCACACACACATTACACACACACACACACACACACACACACACACACACACACACACACACACACACACTCGCACACATATATGTATGTGTGTACTAGTGTGTGTGTGTGTGTGTGTGTGTGTGTGAAGATGAAAACCACTCACATTAAAGACAACATGAAATGAGACCTGACACTCTTTTTTAGGTCAGTCAGTCTGGAAATAGATTTGGAAAAAGAGAAATAGCAAAACATCCGAGGAAAACGGAGTGATGGCAGCTCTGAATTCTGCACTGAATGATTAAACTGTGTACCCTGATCGTCCTCAGCAATGAAGTGTTCTCAGTCTTTCTATTTCGCAGTTCCCAGCTGTTTTTGAAAGCTTCTCTTGCGTTTCTATTTAGTCTCTTTATCTTTTTTTTCTTTTTTTAATCTCTTTATGTAACCTTTTTTTTTTTCTTTCCTTTTGCCGCATCTTTATTTATCTCTGTGTCCTAGATTCGTGTTTATTTGTTTCTCTCTTGCTTCCTCTACTTCCCCTCCTCCCTAACCGCACGTGTAGCTGTGCTGACCCCATCAGACCGCACAAACTATTATATCTTGATTTTATTAGTATCATTATTAGCATTTCCGATCATAAATATGATTTTATGGCCTTCGTTAGTCATAAATCGCTACCATGCGGCGTGGGCCCCTCTCCCTACCCCCTCCCCCTCCCCTTGTCATGAATTATTTGATGCAGAAGGATGATTAAGCATGTCTCTTCTGGCTCGCTCCCGGAAATTATAATTTTTCTTCATCTCTTTTGTGTCCTAAGAGGCGGTTTCTTAAGGAGGGTGTCAGAACAGGAGAACAGGAACAGTTGGAGAGGAATGGTGTTTTATTTATTTATCTGTCACTCTTCATTTTCTTTGTATATACCTGTATGTTTATTATTCGACTATCTATTATCGATCTATTCATTTATTATCTATCAATCGATCTATTAATCTATAGGTCTATTGTCATTCGATTCATCATTTTATTATACACGTATCAGTCTATATCTATGTCTACCTGTCAGTCTTCATCTGCCTGTCCATATTTCTATCAACATTTATATCTACCTACATAACATTCCTTCCCCTTCCTTTCCCTATCCTATATTCCTTTCCCTATTTATATCTACGTATATACTTTTTTCTTCCCTTTCCTTTGCCTAACACGCCCATCCCCCCCCCCCCCAACCCCGCCTCTCAAAGACGCCTCTCAAACACGCCTCTCCCTCTCCCCCCACAGAGTCTGTCTCCGCCGCAGTTCATCTTCTGGTACCACGACAACCGCATGATCAACTACGACCAGTCCCGCGGCGACATCTCGGTCACGATAGACCACCAGGAGCTCATCACCTCCCGCCTCACCATCAACAACGCCAGCTTC